TATTGTAATATGTGTTTGCAGGACCATATTGTAAAACAGCGGTAAGATCTCGCCTGTATATGTTATCCTGCCTAAAGATGTTTTAAATAAAAAATAAAAATAAATAAAATATAAATTTTAAAATCTATCTGTCTGTCTATCTATAATAATAATAATAATAATAATAATAATAATAATAATAATAATAATAATTGATTGATTTATTTATTTATTTTCCACATAATGAACAAAAAAAAAACATATACATGATCAAACATATTCAAAAAATCTATGTGGATGGAGACCACAATAAGTTTTAAAAAAAAGTTTAAGATTTGGCCACCATTAAAATAAAAATAAAATACAAAAACTGAAAACATAAACATGTAGTCTGGTTTCTATACATAAGGTAGAAGGCTTAATTACCATACATCGAGACCAGATATCGTTTGATATTAAGTTTAAAAGAAGAAAAACTGGGTAAAGATTTTAAAAAAGGGTCAAGGGAATTCCATAACTTAGGTCCATTATAAAATATTGATTTTTTTTTTCTAAGAGAAGATATACATTTTTTTGTTGTAATATTGTTTTTTGAAAAGCTGGTTGGATAGTTATGAATTTCAGACTGTTGGGTTGGGAATAATAGGGTAATATGGATTGGGAGTGTATTACTTATAAATCGATACATAAAATTATAGGTTTGTAGTTTGTTTAGATCAAATATATTAAGTGTTTTATATTTATAAAATAAAGGTTTAGTGTGTGTATTACGACTTGACCCTTAACAAGTCCTTAAAAATGCTATCAATACTAGTGGTCTCAAGACTTGTCCAGGGGCATAGTTATGTGTGTTTATCAACTGTGGTGGCCCACGAGAGATTACAATATTAATATAGGGTAGGACTAAGGTATTGTGTAATGATAAAAGTATATGTAGGGGAAAATCATTTTTTAACTTATTCATGACACCAATATTTCTAGAAATAATTTTAAAAATTTTGTTACGATGAGGTTGCCAGGAAAGCTTGGAATCTAATGTTACACCGAGAAATTTTGTTTCACTGACCTGGTTAATAATATTATTATCTATTTTTAAAACATGATTATGGTCTTGTTTTGTTTTGTGATTAAAAAGAATAAAATTAGTTTAATTATGTTCAATGATAATTTATTTAATTTAAACCAGTTGGATACCTTGCTTAATTCAGTGTTAGTAATTTTAAAAAGTTCTGATAAGTTTTTGTTTAAATAGAAAAAAGATTGGTGTCGTCAGCAAACAGAACAAAACCTAATAATGATGAACAATTTGAGAGATCATTAATATAAATTAAAAATAATAAAGGACCAAGTATTGACCCCTGTGGAACACCACAGTTGATTTTAGAAAGAGGAGAATTATAAGAGTCAACAGAAACAAATTGTTGTCGATTGCCAAGGTAGCTTCTAAATAGAATGAGGGCAAGGCCTCTGACACCATAACGTTCAAGTTTGTTTAGTAAAATGCTATGATCAATAGTGTCAAAGGACTTGCTCAGATCAAGAAAAATACGAGCTGTGAAATAATTATTACCAATAGCTTTGAATAATAGCAAAATCAGTTGAAAAGAATTTTCTAAAATCATATTGGCGATTATGAATAATATTGTGCTTATATAAAAACCGAAGCAATCTGTTGTAAATTAGGCGCTCAAGGATTTTGGAGAAACAAGGTAATAAAGTAATAGGTCTGTAATTAGTAAACACATGAGGATCACCTTTTTTTTATAAATAGGAACTACCTTGGCAATTTTTAGGGCATCAGGGAATGTTCCCTTTCCAAAGCAAAGATTAAAGATATAACATAAAGGTTTTGAAATTTGATTGGATATACGTTTGACAACATTGTTTGATATTTCATCATTTCCAGGACTCTTATTAATGTTTAAGCTTTGGATAATTTCTATAATTTCGTATTCAGTAACTGTGGGTTTAAAAAAAAACGAATCAAGAAGAGGTGGGTTAAGAAAGCAAGAGAAATGTTGATTAGTTTGAATATTAATTTTTGCTGCAACATCTGGTCCGATGTTTACAAAATAGTCATTTAGTTTTTTAGAAATAGTATGGGAGTCTGTAATTTTTGATCCATTATGTAGGAAGTATGACGGGGAAATAATCAACAGCAGATCAGCGCTTAATATCACAAACACCTGGATGGTGATGGGATCTCTTAATCCTTATCACTCTCCTGAAGGCAAGGCGACAATAATAATAATAATAATAATAATAATAATAATAATAATAATAATAATAATAATGATAATAATAATAATAATAATAATAATAATAATAATAACAATAATAATAATAATAATAATAATAATAATAATATTAATAATATTAACTTTTTTAATGTGGGTGTCATATATTTTTAGAAACTTATTTGCAAATGAATTGTAAGCATCATTAGGATTATCGTTGTTGTAAATATCGAACCAGACACTACAAGGAAGATTATTACTTAGAGAGGAAATTGTATAATCATTTATTTTCCTACATAGAGTATTTTATATTATTATTAGACAGAGAATGAGATAAATTTGAATGAGCAATAGAATAGATAGGAAAGTGATCAGATATGTCAGAGTAAAGAATGCCAGGAGATATTTTAGTTTGCATGTTGTTAGTAAATATATTATCGATAAGGGTGGCAGTTTTAGTTGTAATTCGAGTAGGTCTATGGCTTAGGGGATATAAATTATAATTAAACATATTACCAAGAAACTCAGAGGATTGCTTATGTGTACTATACTTAAGTAAGTCAATGTTAAAGTCTCCGGCAATATAGGTTATTTTATTTTCATTATTTATTACATCTAGAAGAAATGATATATCAGAATTAAAAGTAAGCAATGATAAGTCCGGTACTCTATAGACTGTCCTAATATTCTTAGGTTCAGTCTTTATTTCAATAAAAAAAAAATAGATTCAGCAGTTGTAGAGATTAAATTAGAAAGATCATTACGAACTGTGTATGGTAAATTCTGGTCCAGATATATGGCAACACCACCTCCCGTTCTATTGGTTAGAAGAATGTAAGAGTGAATAACCTGATATGTCGTAAAAAGAAAAAAACAGTTTTAATATTGTTAAAAAGGGTTTCAGAGAAACATAAAGCAGAGAAATTATGGTCCAGCGTACTTAGGAAGTCTGTTATTTTATTATAATGATTTACCAAACTTCGAGAATTCATATGAAAAATACTAATAGTAGAGTCTCACGTCACGCAGTAGCTTCGATCGTTTTATGGTCAGATTTTCATGCAAAAAATATTGTGTGCCCTTGAAACGTTTTTTTTTTACCTTAAAAACATCGCTTCTCTTTTTATAATTTGTGAATTTAATGATTATACTCCTAGGTTTAGCTTCGTCAGTGCCCCTTTTGTGGCCCAGTCTATGCGACCTATCAATGTCGGCACTGTCAATGCAGGCATTTAGCTTCTCTTTAAATACTTTAATCACTTCCGTGTCCGTATTTTCATTTGAGGTTTCTGGGACACCATGTAGTATTATCTGTACAACAGAATGATGATATGATGATGATATTGATAATGATGATAATAATGACGATGATGTGTTTGTTCCCATGAATCATGTTCAAATCAGTCATCTCAATAGTGTTCACTGATCGATTTTTATTAAGCGGCACTCACTTATGTTACAAGTTGCTCCCATATGGCCTGTGCCTCTGCAATCACAAGTAAACGAGCCATCACCATTGTCGGTGCACCGCCCATAGTTGAGACAAGGATTGCCATCACACGCTGACGATATAAATATATATGTTATATTTTACAAAAGCTTTACCTAGAAATCAAATATTCATACTTGGTTTTGTGACGCCTAAATTACAATGACAATGGTTCTTCAGAGAAGAATATATACAATCAATATATAAGTATTATCCAAGTGTAACCATACGTTCCGCTACAATAATAGCCATAACCATGCAATATATCTCGCTCGCCTATAGGGCCTAATGTAAATATAATTTAGATTAATATTTTGCATTGTTATTGTAGTTGACAAGTGATGTTTTTTCAATCAGACTTAACTACTCTAAAAGCTTTGCAAACGACTTTTCTCTGTTAGGCTTAGGCGTATCTGTATCATTACTAGCATGTCTTAAACAGGAATTAATATAACATTTATTTTAATCAGTGGTCAGGCCTACAATTTGGTCTTAGGCTTAATATTATTATGCAAATATTATATTATTTTGCATATTAAGTATTAAGTCAACAAATAGTTTAATTGTATGTATTATGAATAATACCTGCCATTATCCAACAAAGAAGTCAAACTGGTAGTTCAGGGTCAGCTAATGTGCTCCATTAGCTTCATTTCCTCTGGCTCTTCATCTGCTCTTAGGCCTATATATAGTTATTTTATTATATTTCACTTTTATTATATTTTACTTTATTTTTATTTACATGTATAAAGAAATTTATTGATTACGGTACTGCCGAAACCTACCTTGGCTATTGACCAATGAGCTCTGTAAACAATAGAAAAAAAATAATAGGCCTATAGTTGTTTTTTTTTATATACACAATTCCTTCTAATTTCTAGATATAATTCCTCTATTAAACTGTAACGTAGGCCTATACGGTACTGTAACACACGATACAACTTTACGGGTTGAGTACCAAAGAATTTATATTTTGCCATATAATGAACATAGATTATGGCTTGACTCAAAAGATCTGAATAATATTGATATATTTCTTATTTGTTAATAATACATCCTTACAGTTTATTTCATACAAAATAAAACAGAAGAGGAATTAAAATATCAAATAAATGTACATTAACCTGTGTGCACACAAAACTAAAACACACACAATTCCTTCTAATTTCTAGATATAATTCCTCTATTAAACTGTAACGTAGGCCTATACGGTACTGTAACACACGATACAACTTTACGGGTTGAGTACCAAAGAATTTATATTTTGCCATATAATGAACATAGATTATGGCTTGACTCAAAAGATCTGAATAATATTGATATATTTCTTATTTGTTAATAATACATCCTTACAGTTTATTTCATACAAAATAAAACAGAAGAGGAATTAAAATATCAAATAAATGTACATTAACCTGTGTGCACACAAAACTAAAACCCCTTGACTATAAACTGATCTATGTCAGCCTACGCTCAATAATTGCATTTTCACAGTTAAACTCACCATGACTAACAGTACCGCAACAAGGTACAAGCCTAAATTCCCTTGCATTGTTAATGTTGAAGGCTTGCTTCAGTAGGTACGATCCGCAACACGTTAATGTGCTATGCTGTTTAGGTTAGAAGCCAGCTATTGATGAACGACGCTAAATATTGATTATCGATTGGTATAACATATGCAACCAAACTGATCCGTCGATGATGATGAAACCCTTTTTTAAAAGAAATTTTAAGAAATTAGGTTAACCAACATTTTTTTGTTGTTGTGTCAGAGATGTTTCCATTTTTAGTAAGGTGGAGATATTTATCCAGTGCAGTCGTCCATGTAATTCACTTACGGTACGGTTTGCTTAACTGCTATTTTACATTCCGTTGGTTTATACTGCCATGATATATTGCTTGTGGCTATTTTTAACTATTTGTCCTTTTTACATTAGGATCTTTTATAATCGTTTACAATGATTCTTAATATCTTTTTAACATTGAATATTTAACGTATTGTATTTTAACGTTTTGTATCGTGTTCTAAATATCTTAACATACAGTATGTTAAGTAGTACTTGGCAATGTGTGTATTCAAACAAAATATATTGCCATTTTAATATACATTTGTATTTTTTATTGACAAGTCAATAAATAAATCTTGAACTTGTTGTTATTATGAACAGTGTATGTCGATATATTTGTGGTTGTAAGCCTTTAACTCATTGTAGTAAGGTGCTATTTTTGAACGGTATTATATAAACTTTTATACACGTACCGGCACGACTGGCTCCATATTAATTGACTCTATATAGAAAATCGATAAAATAAGCCTTTAAATTGTCTTATTTTTCAGAGGCTCCCCCCCCCACCCCAATGCCAATGTATCATCAGTCTGTATCATGGGAGTGTTTTAACCGGTATCACTACTGTATACTAAGAGTGTTTTTTTTTAAAATTTATTTATATCTTTGACATGTTCAAGCTTGCGGTACATCACGTAGGAAGTTGTGAATAGAACTGTTGTAGTTGAGAAAGTCTCGACGTTTCGATTGAGATGCTTCAATGGTCTTCAAAAGAATAATTTTTGCAGAAATTCCAAACAGAGAAATACATATTGACACTCTAGAAGGACCAGAGAAGCCATAGAAATTCAAAAACACATTTGTCATTAGCGATATTTGGCTGTCCATGTTTAATCGGACCTAGCTAAGCAGCCCCACCTTTTCCCGCCTTACTGGAACTATGCCTTTGGTTTTTGGTCGTTCCCATCCCCTTTCTCACCCAACTGGAACTAAGCCTTTGTTTTGGACGTTCCCATCCCCTATGCCGCTAGCATTATTTTTTCCCCAATACAGTTCAGGCAGAAATTATAGAGGGCACTATTTAAGGTCATTTAGGTGAACTGATAGCATGAATAATGCATGCCTGCATGCTTGACACCTCTCGCGAGTCGCAAAAGTGGTGCGGTGCGGGTGTTCGCTGCTTGTGGAATATGAAAGCTACGGCGCTGTTAGGGCATGGAGGAATTTAGAAACTAAACTAATTCCTCCATGGTTAGGGTAGGGTAGGCCAAATCTCTTTGGAGTGTATACAGTCGATACAGAGTGTGACAGGGACGTATACAGGGGGGGGGGTGAGGTGGTGTGCCGTGGGTGTCTGAGGCCAGGTCTTTCAAATACAGAAATGTGATATTGTATGGTTCAGTTTGGTTTTTATCGTTTTGCAAGCTCTATAAAGTTTTGTTTTAATACTACAGTACTACTAGTATTAATAATAATAATAATAATAATAATTATGATGATGATAATGATGATGATGACGATGGTGATAATAGATAATAATATTAATAATATTAAAAAGTGAAGAAAATTGTGCTAAAGGCGAAAAAGTAAGTTGTGATTTGTTGATCAAAATTATTATAGGGCCTAGTATAGTTAAAGCTTAGTAAGCTATTAGTTAGGCCTAAATTGTTTTGGATATTAAGTAGATTCCTTTTGACTATATAATGGTGATTTGATGATGATGAATTTTACAACCAAGTGGAGAGGAGAGTGTATACAGTCGATACAGAGTGTGACAGGGACGTATACAGGGGGGGTGGGGTGGTGTGCCATGGGTGTCTGAGGCCAGGTCTTTCAAATACAGAAATGTGATATTGTATGGTTCAGTTTGGTTTTTATCGTTTTGCAAGCTCTATAAAGTTTTGTTTTAATACTACAGTACTACTAGTATTAATAATAATAATAATAATTATTATGATGATGATAATGATGATGATGACGATGGTGATAATAGATAATATTAATAATATTAAAAAGTGAAGAAAATTGTGCTAAAGGCGAAAAAGTAAGTTGTGATTTGTTGATCAAAATTATTATAGGGCCTAGTATAGTTAAAGCTTAGTAAGCTATTAGTTAGGCCTAAATTGTTTTGGATATCAAGTAGATTCCTTTTGACTATATAATGGTGATTTGATGATGATGAATTTTACAACCATAGTGGGTCTGAGGTGGTTGTGAAATCACGGCTTTGAAGTATATACTGTAAATCCCACACAATTTTTATATTGGGTCCACAAAGAATGGGTCTATACATTTTCAAAAATAGTTCAAAATTATGCTGTTTTAGCAAAAAATGAGTCCTGCTTTTGAAAAATGGGTAGAAATTTCTTATATTTTCGCGTAAAAATTTTTTTTAAAGAAAATAGGTATAGATTTTTCATATTTTTGCGTAAAATAGGCCCACTTTTAAGAAAATGGGTCCACATTATTTGAAATTACGCGTCAAGTGGGTCCACAATGATATTGTTCCACACTGTTTGAAAATCCTGGCTACAGCATTGTATATAACAGTGATGTGATGATGATGAATTTTACAAAAAATGTAATTTTCTGGTCATCTGGAGGTACTATTTCCTCAAATTTTTGCACCTCAGACCCAACCATAGTGGGTCTGAGGTGGGTGTCGGCTTACGAAATGTCCCCCCACCCAACCTCCACCTTTCAAAACAAATTGCGCCTTCCTGGGTATAACATTAAACTCCATCAAGTCGACACCTGACTCAGAGTATGTCTTAGTGACTGCTGATAAGGTGAGAGTGCATAAATTTGTTTTTAGGATGTGATCATGGTGGGGCTGAGGTGGGTGGTTCCTCAATTTGTAAAAGTCCATCCCTGGGTCACCTCTCCCTGGATCCACCACTGTTCAGTTTTATATAATTATTTTTGGGCTTACTAATATTATTTATAATGCATTTATTGTATAAATTTTTTTATAAATAAATTTTCACTTTATCATCTCAGAACAGCCCCCCACGGGGTCCTACGTAACTCGCATAACGGCTCCCCACCCCCACCCCCACCCTTTCAAAATCCTGGCTATGTCCCTGGAGTGCGAACTACCGTAATTGACTATTACTGTAATTACAATTCTCTATGCCTAGGTAGTGTTTACGTACAACATGGTCTTTGAAAGTATAAAAAGGCAGCGTTGAATTTCTGGTCGATTATTTGAGTAGTATACTACTGATTCTAAAGGATAAACGTTTAGAAATGCTCGGACACACAGGTACAATTATATGTACTGTATTGTTTTAATGTTGACTTCTTACAAACATTTCGTTCATATTCAATATGAATAAAGGCATACATTTAGCAAGCAGTTATATTATCACTAATTTTACGATATTCTATACACATGATATGACGTACTGTTTGGCTGTGTCTACCCAATTAAATATTGAATAGCTATATTTAAAACGATCAAAATCAGATGGAAGTAGAAATAGCTTTTATTGATTTACAGACGGTTGTTCTACAAAAATCCTTAAATGTTACCAACCAATGAATCATGCAAAAGAATACAGAAACGCTCACTGTCTGTTAATAGGCAGGGATTTTTTTCTCATAAAAAAAAAAAACTTTTAATTGTAAAATTGTAAGTTAACTGGTCCGAAGTACTAGTAATTTGTTTCCGAGCATTTCTAAACGTCTTTCAGAATCAGTACTACATACTCAGTCTGCTACAGCACACACGTCATACTGTATATTAGCCTATAACTGTAGACCTAGGCCTACCTAAAGACAGTGCCAGATTCAATATGAGCCTACTCCGATTTTTTATACTTTCGAAGACCATGCTGTAAGCCTACATAGAATGTGTCTAATCTAGTACTACAATGTTTACACTGCCTTGACTACCAAGGTTTATTTAAGATATTTTGGCCTAACACGCTGACTCCATAGCGTTCATCCACGCATAAAACTCGATACAGCACTGACACTGTATTCGTGAATATGTTCTTCATAACTGACCTTAAATCAGGCGCGTAACAGGGGTGTTGGGTCAGGGGGGGGGGGTAATAATTTCCCGGTTAGTAATTTATCAGACCAATCCCATCCCCTCCCTATATAGAAAACAATACGACATAGGGCTTATCTTATTTATAATATAGGCCACACACGTGTGTTTGAAACTAAATATAAGCATTTTCATCATGGTTTTATTTATTACAAACATATTCTTTCACCATCAATACACATTCAGGCCCTTCTTTTAGGTTAAAACGATCTATCTGAATTTTTTCTTTCTTGAGTTTGGGACTATTATGTGTTTAAATAACTTAAAAGGATAACCCTAAAAAACCATAGTAAATGCACACGAAGCGCGCAAAAAGTTTTTGTGTTTTTAATTCTAATTTCGTCGGAATTTATCAAAACTCCCTAAAATGTGCAATTTATAGAGGAAATTGGCCTACCGTAACAAGAAATTTGAGGATTTTAGGCACTTTCAGGGAATTAAAAGGACATTTATCAAGGGGTGGGGAAAGATTTTCCAAAGATGGATATTTTCCCCTTGTCCCCCGATGTTTTTAATTCTAATTTCGTCGGAATTGATAAATGAAAATCCCTAAAATGTGCAATATAGGAAATTAGCCTACTTTGAAAGGAAATGCGAAATTTGACATTTTTAGGCACTTTCAGGGGATGGAAACGGCATTTATAAAGGGGTGGAAAAGATTTTCCCAAGATAGATATTTTCCTCTTGTTCCCCGGTGGTTAGCCTACGCCATCTGGCAGCTTAGATCAAAGGGGTTAAGTGGAGAAGAGGTTGCAGCGGGTGTTGTGAGTCTGGTCATTATGATATCTTCCTTTTTATTCTTGTCTTTATTTTTCTCTCCTCTTTTTCTTTTCCTTTTTCCTTTCCTGTTCTCTTCCTCTTCTTTCTCTTTCCCTCCTTCTCCCCTCTTTCTTTTCTCTTATTACCCAGCCCGGTACGACGGCTAGTTCAGCCCGGTAAAAACCGTCAGTGGGGGAGGGTGGCAGGGGTAACTGTTTGGGGAAA